GTTGAACGCCAGTAGTAACAGGCTAACAGCCACCATTTACAGCTTTGCCTAGAAAGAAAATTAGATGTATATAGACATAAAAATATACCAACAAGAATATAACAAACCATCTTTTGCAAGATCATGCTCAGAGGGGATATGGCCGATATAATGTGGAAAGCAACGGTCTCCGGCATCGAGTTGGCGTTGTGAAAGCAAAACTTGTACATTCCACTTCGTGGGGCACTGAATTCAAACTTGTCCCCTTCATAGTGTGAATTATATTACCCCCAGGAGAAGTTACCTGCATCAAGTCAAATATAAGAAGGATTATAATAAAGCCCTCTTCTGCATTGTTTTTCAAGAGTTCTTCCTTTATCAAACCTTTGTCAAAGGTACTTTAGAATAAAATTACCTATTTGTCTTCATTTGTATGACCAATTTTTTTTTTATATTTCAAAAATAATGTTTAAAATAATGATTTTATATATTTAAAAATACTTTTCATAAACAATACAAAACACTTAAAATTTAGATTTAAAATTATTAAATTAAAATTTATATAATAAGATTATATTTTACTTATTATGTAATTTAAATTTTCAACTATATTAATATATTAAAAATAATTGATAGATTTGAGTGATTTATTTTGATATGTATAAAAAATGAAACATATAAGGATAAGAAAGAAAATACAAGTATTGTTATTTGTTGACTTTTTTAATAGGACATTTTGAATTAGATAATTTAAAATTTAAACGGGATAAATTTAATGAGACGAAAAGAATATTAATAAATTCAAATATAATTAAATTAATATATTAAATTTTCTAACGTATTGTTTAAACAAATAATTTGCTTTTGTTTTCAAAAGTAATTTTTTAATTATAACTCTAGACAATTAAATCTTAAATGAAACTTTTTAAAAAAATAGTATAAAACTAATTTTTAACCTTTCTTATAGAGATACCCAAATCAACTTATTAAAAAAAGACTCCGGAAATAACACTGAAACATAAGCGCCTATAATTCAACAGAACTACATACCCCACATGTAATATCATATCAATTCAAATCAACGAGCTTAGGGATGAATTGAAGAAAGTTGATGGGTCGTTGTCTTTATAAAAAATTTAAGTTTCATATAATTAAAGTAATTTTAATATATAATCTGTTGAGCACACTGAAAGCGCGTTACATTACCTACAAACCATTAAAATCAAACACCACAAGTCGTAGATCACAGTTTTACAGATACAAAACCATCCGAAAACACCGAAAAATGAATTCTTAAAGTTCATAAAAGAACCCAACATTAGCCAATTGAATTAAATTATGCAAATATCCCAGAAAAACAACCATCAACTATTGGAATTCGAGACCCAGACATAAAAGCAATTGAAAAGGGATCCATTACTTAAAAGGAGTCGAATACCCATACAGCAAATCAATCCAAATTCCACGAGATAAAAAAAGACATCGAAATCAGATATCTGGTAAAATATACTTACGATGAAATCAATGCCGGGATGATCAGAGCTCCAGAAAATATCGTGGTCGACGACGATAAAGTTGCCCGAAATCGTGTCGCCTTCGTAAAGCACGTATTCGTAAACGCATTCGACTTCGATTACGGTCACGGAAAGCGAGGAAACGTTACACCCCCAATCCAATAGAAGAAAACACATCAACGCCCACATTTCCCCCTTCTCTTCTCCATCTTTTTTCCAGAAATTTTGATCTCAAGGGATTCTTTTGCCCCCTGATTTGATTTCTAACGACTTGTAGTCTCGTAAAGAAATTAAAAATCTCTACTTCTATTTTATTTTATTTTAGATTTTCACGACTGTCTTGGTACCATTGAGAATCACATCCAAAAAAGATATGTAAACTATATTTAAAGACACTAAATTATGTTTAAATAATTTTTTATTATTAATTTTTTTAAAATTATAAAATGATAATTAAACATGTTAAATAAACATTATGACGTTGATTATCATTAAGTAATGATGTGATATGAAGTTTAATGATTAATATTAATCATGGTTATTTTTAGAGTAAAGTCCACAATTAGTCCCCTGACTATAGGGTGATGCTTTGTTAAGTCATTCAACTATTAAAAGTTACAAAATAGTTCTTCGGCTATGGGATGTTGCTTTATTGAGTCCGTCGACTATTAAAAGTTACAAAATGATCATTCAACTAATTAGTGTATTCCAAACTCGTCATTTTTCGTTAAAAATTTGATGGCATTCTGATCTGGATGTTAGCATGTTGATTGAGATATGATAAAATCTGACCTCAGAATCTAAAAAAACTATAATATATATGTCAACAGGTTAACATCCAACTCATATTGTTGTCAAATTTTTAACAAAAAAGGACGGGTTCGGAACATACTAGATAGTCGGTTGACCATTTTGTAACTTTTAATAGTCGAGAGACTCAACAAATCAACACCCTATAGTCGGGGATTATTTTGTAACTTTTAATAATCGAGGGACTCAATAAAATATCACCCAATAGTCAAGGTACTATTTTGTACTTTACCCTTATTTTTAATTAAAAATGCATGGAAAACACATTACGTGCATGTTGAAAAGGAATAAATATTGGGGGGAAATTGATTCACCATGATTGAGATGATGGGAAAACATGTTAGAAATGTTATTTGGATCTTTATGCTATTAGGTGCTTCATATAAAATCAATCTAACCATTAATATGCTTTCTAGAAAACTTTTAGTTTATATATGAAAAGACAAATTAATAACGGGTTGATTTAGTGTGATGGAATAATGAATTCTTTAAATAAGATTTGATACTTGAAGATTATGAATGAATAAACCAAGTTAGTAATTTCCACTCAATCAAGCTCTAAAAAGATAGTATCCATAATTTTTTACAAGTGATTAAAATAAGAGAAAATAACTTCAGTGACCGAAAATGCCTTATAATATACGATTTTAACCATTTTTTTTTGGATTTGCGAAAATAACCAACAAATTCGCAACGCGAACTCCAATTCCGCAACACAGTTTCCAAATTCGCAACGCGAATTTCCCAAATTCGCAACTCAGTTTCTGAAATCGCAACGCGAATTTGTAATTCGCAAAGCGCGTTTATTTTCGCAACGTGGATTTTATTTTCAAATTCGAAACAAGAATATTAATTTCGCAACACAAATGTAAACAATATATCCCGTAAATCGTAACTCATAACCTAAAACCTTAAATCGTAACTTAGTCCCATCTCCATCTTTCACTCTCTACGGCGACAACCGTCCCCATCTCCGACGACATCCATCTCTCAGAGCCACACTCTCATAACCATTCACGACCACAAATAGAAAATCAACCATCAAGAGTTAGTTTTTCTAATTATTTTTATTTTTATTTTTTTTTATTATTAGATTTTTCATATTTAAATTGATGATAAATTTACTCGTAATTTCAATATATAGATTAACCATTTCACTTAGATTGCTTAATAAATTCATTCGGTTGCTGCCAATACTGCTAAACTGTTTAGTCTTTAACCCTGTGAAGTTAGTATTTGTCTTTTGGTTGAAGTAATGCAATTCATTCAAGTTTCAATTTACAGAAGAAGAGTAGTTTTTAAAACTTAAAGTCGCAACACGAAAATCGCAAGGCGAAAATGAAATTCGCAACGCGATTTCAGTTTTCACGTTGCGAATTTCATTTTTGCGTTGTGAATTTTATTTTCGTGTTGAAAATTTCATTTTCATGTTGCGAATTTAAGTTTCAAAAACTACTCTTCTCCTGAAAATTGAAACTTGAATGAATTGCATTACTTCAACCAAAAAACAAAGACAAATACTAATTTCACAGTGTTGCGAATTTAAGTTTCAAGAATAAACTACTACTCTTTATGTTGTCCTTGAACCTGCACTAAACCTATATGTTGTCCTTTTAAATGTTTATATAAGTTCTTACTTCTGGAATGTCATCTGATGCATTTTGTGAACTATGATAGAATAATGACTTGGGTGAATACAGAGCTAGTTTGAAACATATTTGGCTATATTTTCCCTGTTTAATATCATGTCTGTTTATTGTGTATAATTTGTAGTTTTTGGTATATCTAACTTGGTATTTTTATTGTTTTTGTTAGGAATTTTTTTCGGATGCATTGACTTTAAGGAATAAATTAAGCCTAGCCATTACAATTGCGTCGACACTTACACTTGTACAAAGAAATTTGTTTGAGAATACTTGTTTCGGGCCATGGCTGAAAGTACAACATCCAGGTGGAGATGCTATGTTGACTTATTTGTTTCTTCAGACCATGACTAACGATCTACCCGAGGGGATACAATATGGTGATGAAGAGATATGGTTTCATTTTCCACCGGCGTATACTCGTTTTGGGCGGGAGGAGTTTTGCTTACTCACTGTTCTACGTTTCGGACGACACGATGAAGTAGGTCCATACACTAGTCATATCGACCGCCCATCATGGTTATTTCTATATAATGTTTCCAAAATTATAATTAATTATTTAACAATTACTAAAATTAATGTTTGTGTATTATATTGTTTGTAGATTTGGATATTTGAGGCTTTTCCCAACATGCGTACATATGCCATCAAAAATTCAAATGATATTCCTAGGGCTATTACTTGGAGGAGGATCCGGCTATTGGATTGGGAAGATTTACTACCATATACGACGATGAATGATATAAGTTAACACAAATACTACCATATATAAACAAGTTATTACTAGTAGACATTTGAATTTGTTTGGGCTTTTATATTGTTAGGAGGCAAACTATCCATTACAGAGGCTGACACCCACAAAGGTTGAGCTTACCACTGATTGGTGGCAAGCTAGTAGGCATTTTTTATGGGACGGATGATGAGCACCCCCTACTTCGAGAGCCATCACCTGATCGAGCCGATTCTATAGCTCGACACCGAGAGCCATCACCTGATCAAGCCGATTATACACCTAGACACCGAGAGCCATCACATATTCCATCACATCATCGAGCCTCTTCTCCACCATCACCTCATGATACGCGACTGGAAAATATGCCACGATATTTATCTCCCCGTTCTCTACCTCCACGGGATGAGTTAGAGGAGTTACGTGATGAGGTCGGTACTTTACGTGATGATAATGGTGTATGGCGTGATGAGGTACAATATTTATGTGGTGAGGTAGCTGTTTTACGCGATGACAATGGTGCTTTACGTGGTGATGTATCTACGTTACGTGATGAGGTAGCCGCTCTATGTGAGATTGTTTCATCGTTGTAGAATGAGGTTTATACTCTACGCAATGAGGTAGGTTTGTTTAATTTTATAAGAAATACTATATTAAAAATGCAAATAACCTTTTTTCGGCATTATTTATTTATTTATTTACTAATTTATGTATTAATTTATTTTTAGTGGCCCGATAAGGTAGGTGCTTTACGTCGGGTTTTTCTTGCACGACGGGGTTCACGCATCAGACGTTGTAGACGTGCCATTACATCTCCTTTCACCCCAGTAGTTCCAAGACTGCGTAAGAATAAGCCTGACCCACCTACCATTGTTCATGATCCACCTCCCATTGTTCATGATTCACCTGTCATCATTCAAGAGGCCCCTCCCATCGTCCAAGAGGCCCATCCCATCGTTTAAGAGGCCCCTTCCATTATTCAGGATCCACCTCCCACCGTTCAGGATCCACATGGCATACTATGTCGACATATTGGTAAACCCCCTATTGTGCCCGATATGATGGATCAAAGTTGGCTTTCGTATCAGTTATCGGCCAGTACCATTCCTCAGTACGAGATGAGCACACTACCGGACACAATTATGGATAATACCATTTGGGCTAAGACCGTAGTTAATTTTTAACTACATGAGCGGAGCCAAGGGTTCTACATTGACATATGCAAGATCGACAATATACATTTGTTTCTTAAGCGGTCTTGGTGGGTGTTTTATTAGGGATTGAAGAGAATGACTATTTCGAATGGGGGGTAAGTATTATATTCTTCTTATATTGATTTTGATTATTTTTTTAAAATTTATTAAATTCACTAATATATGTATTTTTTTATAAAACAGCATATTGATGCATAGGTGTAACACCCCCAACCCGTACCCGACCCGGATACGAGTCTGAGGTGTCACATTGACTTTTCAAACTTTGACTCTTAACAAAATTCAAAGAAAATTTAAATCTTTCATTAAAGTAAAAGCGGTTTAGTTACATAAATTGACCACAATACCCAAAATCAATCAGAGCATAACTAATTCAACCAATTAGTACATGCCAACTATACTCAAAATAACCAAAAACATTTAAATTCTCTATTTTCTGATCTGAAATTTTGTAAGGGAGGTGCTGATCTGTCTTACTCTTCTTCGCTTCTCTTCTAGCTTCTGTAACCAACGTGTGAAACAATCACACACTAAGTCTATGACAATTATTAGATACCTACACCTTGTAATTTGATACTAGCAACTTAAACGAACTTATTAAACCAATATTTACAATTTTCCTTTAGGGGGAATCGGTTCCCTACTATGGGGGTATCGATTCCCTCATGTCATTCTGGAAATTTTTGTTCGTTTGAAGGGGTATTGGTTCCCCTTGAATGGGTACCGATTCCCCTTGCCAGAAATCATATTTTTAGCTCGAAAATCACTTCATTTTCAGCTCAACACTTCATACTTCACTCTCTTTAATATTCCTAACTTTCATACACATACTTAAACTCATTTCTACTCCATAATCACTTCTTTAAACTCAAAATTCTATCATTTACATGGCAATCAAAAATCACACTAAATTTCCAACATGTTCTAAAGCCCATTCTATCACTTCATATCTCTTAATTTAACCCTTGACAAGTCAAATTAAACTTCAAAATCTATTAACTCCTTCTATTTCAAAAATTCACTTAAAAACTCAGTTTTCTTAATTTCTCATAACTTGCTAATCTTTGAGTTTTAAGCCACCTAAAGCTTTCCTTAATCTTTCTTAACATCCCAAGAATCAAAACAAGCTTTAAAACGAAAAAATTAACCAACTAAAGACCCACTTACCTTATACAAGGCTTCACGGTGGAGAGGAGGAAGAAGAAGACTGAAGAATACTCTGGAGAAATTATCTCCTTTCCCACGTTTTTTATATCCCTTAAAAAAAAGAATAAAAATATTCTCTTAGAAAAGACCATAATACCCTTGTTATTTCCAAACTTTACCATTAAATCCAACATCAATTTTCTTCAATTAAATCCATGAACTTTTAACTTATTTCGAAATCGAGCACATAGTTTTTAAAATTTGCAATTTAGTCACTGACCCTAATTTGGGATGTTACAATAGGTGTCACGTCTTCTGGTTATAAGGAAATTGAAGAAAATAAAAAATACGTGATGGACTATTTTGCCTTCGTCTTTTCACGCAACTCACTTGCAGGATCAGAGAGATGCTTCATATGCGTTGGGTAATGGCAAAGTTATCCTTTATCCTGCGTGGTGGGAGGTCGATAATGTTAGTATTTATTTTTGCATATTTAAAGGTGTTCATAAAATTTATTTGATGTGCGCAGTTGAATTATTATTTATTATATTACAGGTGTTTATCCCTGTTATGGAACGTCGTCATTGGATTCTCGTCGAGCTTCAGCTCCCATCCCTGAAGATGATAGTATATGGCATCATGTTTAATTACATACCATTGTATGATTTGAAAGATATTATTTGTAGGGGATGGAGCGATCATTTGGCTAAATACTTGGATGCGATTGATTATTGGACTAATTCAGGAAACAAGAAGCCAAATAAGTTAAAAGTTATAATCATGAGAGACGAGACAGCGCCACAACAAACGTCAGGAGCCAGAGGGGATTGTAGTCCTCTTGTATGCATGTACTTGGAACGTATGACGAGAGGAGGTAAACAGTTTCTACCTCCAACAGATAAAGATAGAGATGCAGTAGGGATGTGGTTTTGGTATTTTATGGCTAGAGAGATATATGCGAGACGTTGCCTATATGCATCTGGGTACTGAAAGTGTCCATAAACAACCATTTGTTATTGGTAAGTTTGAGCAAGTGTTGTTAACATATATACTCTTTGTTTTAGATGAAATATTGATCAAAAGTAGTTTGAAAATGTTTGGTTAAGTACCTAGAATTCAATAATTTTGGCTAATATTTGTTGGTTTTAGATGTGTAGAAAATCTCATGGCCATAACGTTTCTGCAGGTTAATCCTTCAAGTGAGCTGCGTGAAATTGATGTATTTGGATGTAAGCACCCTATTGTTAGGAGCATTTGGATATACTGTCTGGGGCAAATTGATGTATTAATGTTCTGTCAAGTGTAAATAAGAATTTTTTTTGTTTAATTGATTTGTTGTTTAATTTCAATATGCATTATGTTGAAGGCAAAAAAGACATGTTGAAGGTACACTACCTTTAAGAAAATCGAATTCGCAATGCGAAAGTCAAATTCGCGTTGTGATTTTTATTTTCGCGTGTCGAATTCAATTTTCGTATTGCAAATTTGACTTTCGCAACAATCGCAACGCGAATTTGACTTTCAATTCAATTCAAGGCAGACACCTTCAAAAAGATAACAAACAACAATTTGATAAGTGATAACAATTGAACAAATTATAGCAATGTTAAAACTCAAGTTACTAATGCATGCCTAACTGAAAATGTATGCATTCACACATAAAATACACATAATACAACGTTTGCATTTAAAAATCACCTAAGTTAATAGTCCCAAAAGGTGAAGCCGGTTGTGATTAGGATTTTGATTTTGATGAGGATCCATATTTTGGTAGAGGAAAAGATGATTGTGATGACACTAGTAATCTACAGGTCAACCTTGTATGACCACTTTCCTTGCACCGAATACATGTCGATATCTTCTTCTCTTCACCCTTAGACGGTATATGATCGTGATTTTTTTATCGGCCAGGTAGCCTTCTGTCCATGACTGGTGGCAAAACTATTTGTAAGGCATCTGGTATGTCTCACTTAGAAGGATGTGGAATAGGGTAGACATTCTCGGCATAAGTTTGTCTATATACTTCTGTAGTGTAGCAATCCATAGCGTATGCGCTTGAATCATCTTGGTTTAGATGAAGAGCAACTTTTATAACATGGCCACACGGATAACCAGATGTTTGCCATTTCATACAACTACACGTCTTTGTATTTAGATCGACAAATCCATTTAAGTTATTATCCAATACTTCAAACAAAGTGTTTGAACATGGTTCAACTCTCCATGACGTTGACTTCACAACACGTTTCGTTATCTTTTTTTTCCAGTCTATGGTGTAACACGACGTTCCAATGTTCCTGTAAATTTAAATAAATAATACTTAGTAAAATCTATTAAATATGATAAGTTACGAATTTAAAGAAATAATACCTGCATGGTTTCTTTTCTTGTAGTACCACTGTTGAATAGAGGCTCGAAAAAACTCCATTAACATAGTAATGGGTAATTTTCGGGAATGACGACTTAGAGCATTGATTAATTCTGCACTATTAGACGTCATGAAACCATATCTTGCTCCAAGTTGATGTACTCTTGACCATCTTTCAAATCCGACATCTTCTAGTGTTTGAGCACATTGAGGTAAAACACGTCTTAAACAATTTATATGCTTATTAAAATCCACTTCCCGATAAGCTTTTACAGCCTTCCAATATGTCCATTTGTGATTTTTTATACCAGCAGACCTTGATTTTAGATTTACGTACAAATGAACACCACAAAGTCCATGAAAAGCATATGGGAAACACCTTCTAACAACGTTGTCAATTGAGTTTGCCCTATCGGATATGATTGTCAGATTGCTAATAGGACCTATGCAATCCCTAAGATGCCCCATAAACCATGTCCATGAATCATAGGTTTCAGATTTGCCAACCCCGTAAGCTATTGGCAGTATCCCATTGTTAGCATCCATGGCTACTGCTAATAAGTTTACTCCAAGGTATTGACGTTTCAAATGTGCTCCATCAACTAT